CTGTTGTAGTGCCGCGCTCACGCATGCGTCCGGAGGAATGTACACATTCACGAGAATGAAAGAGGAGAATTCCCCTGGCGAGTAGAAAGGTTTGCAATTAATGAAATGGGCCTCTAAATCAGGAGAGCACATCTTGATCAGTGTTGTTACATCTGAACACCAATTTTCGTTCAATTTTCGTAAGCTTCGCGGTGCGGTCCGATCGGTACAGCTAGAATCCCGGCAGATGTAGTGCGTTGTCCGGTATGGCTTTACTCAGCCAGGTTTCAGTGAAGCACAAAGCAGCAGAGTTGTTAATGTGGGTGAGGAGAAGAAGTTCGTCCATTTTGTTAGGAAGGGATCGGAGATTCGCAAGATGGATGCTGGGGAGTGCAGTTCGAACGCCGCACTCGCGGAGTTTAACCAGCGCGCCGGCTCGCTTTCCTCGTTTGCGCTTGAGCGCGCGTTTGAACAACACCGCTGCCCCTCCGACGAGAATGTCCAGCAAAACGTCTGAATACTCAAAAACTTTATTGAAGTTTTCTGGTGTGTTTTTCCTGATTTCCAGTAGTTTGTGTTTGGTAAAACTGATAGGAAAATAATGACTAAACACAGGACAAACAAACAAAAACAACGCAATAACTGGAGAGCTCCATGCCGAGGCAGCCATGAAAGAGCTTTCTGATCCCTCTAAAGACAGCAAGCAAGGTCATTGCAACTTTCAAGGCCCAGAAAGGTAGTAAAGACATTGTTAAAATGTAATGTTATGAAGCGAATACGAATACTTTTGTGCAAAAAAAACAAAACCTTCTTCATAACGCTTCATAACATTACATTTAAACCACTGTAGTCACGTGTACACTCTTAGAAGAAAAGGTTCTATATAGTAGGGGTTGAACGACTTCAGATTTTTTGAAGTCGACTGTTATGACATCAAAGTCGAGTCGACGTCGACTAGTCGCTGACGTCATTCATAAAAACACAAGAGATGTGACAGATTTGCATCATGCCACAATTTGCAATTAATTAACAGAAAATTATACAGACGCTGACAGCTCATAATGGGGCCGTTTACACCTGGACACTTCATGCTTTTTTAGTGACCTGATTTATCAAAACTATTCCATTTACACCTGGTCACATAAATATGTTTTCGCATCCGATCTTCAAACAACGCGCTACATGCAGATTTAACGGAGTTCACGTCACCGAAAGCAACAGTAATGATCTATTGATCATCAGCTAATTTCACAATCAAAGACCGCAATAAGAGAGACAGCACTGGTAAGATCATTTTGTTTCTTTACTTTTAACGAAGATGATTGTGTGTTAAGCGTCTGTGACTTACTTTCACTTTGATTTACGATAGTTTGCACGTTGGCTTTATGAATAACGTTAGATGCTCAGCTGCGGTGCGTGTTATAGCTTCGTCATGAATATAATAGCACAGGCTGCTCTCACACGTTTTATTTCAGCATTTTTGGGAGAAGTCCAATTGCGGTTTCAACAACCAGATGCCTTTACACGAGTCCAGTTTCGTCTGTAAAGCGACCCAGACCTCCTCATGAAGTGGTTTGAGCGATCGGATTTAAATCCTTCTCGAATGCGTTTCGGAGGGCATTATACCTGGTCTTTTCGCGAACGGATAGCAATCAGATCACAGAAACACGTGAAGTGGCCAGATGTAACGTTAGCTAAACAGCCCGCTGTTTACATTATCAGGATGAAAAGAAAAGAAAGCTATAAATTCACATCTGCACGTTAGTGATGGATCTAAGTAATACCAAATACTATTCCTATTGATTGCGGGTGAATTAGATGCATTAATATGTTTAAATAAATATATGAAAAAAATAGGCTAATGTTTGAATAATTTTAAAAGACACTGCTCGCATTTCCCGGTAAAACAGAGAGCGTGCGTCATGCTTTTACTTTCTTTTTCAACAATATAGTGGTGCTACGTTAGTAAAGTAGGCTACTTCCATACGCTTTATGTGCCAATGCTGCTTTCTTGCTGCAATGACCCTCTGGGCTCTTCATCTGTTGTCGTCTTTAACGCGGCCATATACTATTAAAATTAGCGCAATCATATAGTGTCACATGATCAACACGACTAGTCGACGTCAAGCTAAAAGCGTCACGGCATTGCATTAAGGTCGACTAGTCGACTAATCGACTAGTCGGTTCAACCCCTACTATATAGAACCTTAAAAGGTTCTAAAACGCTACGTATTTGGAACCCCTAAAATGCAATGCATGAATGATCACAAAATTCAAGATATGGGGGTTAAAAAAATTAATTAATCAATATCACACGAAGAGTGCCATTTCAGTTTTTATCCTTCAAAAATCAGCATGATTAAAATGGGATATTAAGTTGCTACAACGGTTTAATAAACAATAATTTAATTACAACTGCAAAATGTTGCAGAATAATGTAAAATATGAATGAATAATAGCCTATAAAGAACCTTTGTGCCAAAAGGGTTCTTTCTCGTCATTATTATCATTTTTTCCATAAAAGGTTCTTTGCAGTTGAGTAAAGAACCCTATGCTACATATATAGAACCCTTTTTTCTAAGAGTGTACTATTTTAACAATGTTGTAAGGACTTTGCCAATTTGCCATCTACAGTCCTCCGAAATGGACACACACACACAAGCCCTTCCCTTCCCCCACACCTCGGAAAGTGTGGAATGTCTCTGAACTTTTGGTGTTTGAAGACATTTAACAAAATGTTTTCAATGGTTTTTATGTATGTGTGTTCTTCCCCATGTCACAGTGAAATAACTTTGTTTGGTCACAGCGTAAAAAGAAATTAGAAATACCTTCTTCATGCATTTTAAACATAAGTGTATATTCCTTTGATATAACAATGTTCCTTGATATCTCTAGAATGCTTATTGAATGAAAATATGCATAGAGATGTAAAGTAAAGTGTATTTTTAATTTGTTTTACTGCCAATGAAGATCAAATTGTTTTACTATAAAACCCTCATTGAACACACCCCCTTCCACGAGAAGCGCGTGCTATGAGAACAAAGGACAATAAACCAAGAGTTCCCACGCAACGTCCTTCACCCCGATTGGCTCAAGCCAACGGGAAGGGAATGGATTTCGCCAAGGGGACAAAAGGAGCGCGCCGGCTCCGCCTCTCCCCTTCTTCTTCTGACCTCCTCAGAGAAACATGTAATGCTCGAGATCTCCTCACGGAGATCTGAACTGACCATGGATCTTTTCTTTTGTTCGTCTAAAAGTTTTGTCTTTTCCTCAAGTGGACTACCAAGTTCGTCTCCCAGGAAGGGAAGTGGACTTTGCCGAACTATTTCCTCGGGTAAATTCACCTCAAAGACTTTAAGCCTTTCAAACACTCGCGCTGAATGCCAACGAACGCCACGTGACTCCCCACGGAACAAAGGAGCCACGCCCAAGCGACCAACCATGCACGCGCCGGGACGGACCGCGCAAAAACTCTGCGGCCTCGGTCCACGTGACGTGCGCACGCAGGACAGCATCTCCAGTCGACACGCGGCCCGAACGGGCCGAGCAACAAACCCGCGACTCACACAGACCAAATATGCCCTACAAGTATACCTTCTTTTAGAGCTTCTAAGAAGCATTAAGAAAGTGTTTTCGTGGTGTTCAGAAAGGTTAACTGACTGTTGTGGTGAAGGTAACTCTCCCTTTCTCTACAACTCACTCTATCTCACTCTCTCCCTCTGTCCAACTCACTTACGCGTACCCATTGTCTAAACGCCCTGCGTTGTCTTAGTTTGTGTTTTAATGTTTGTAAATACATGTATCATTGTAACATAGTAAATACTTAAGTAGTTGCTTTATTAAATACAATTATGCTAATTTCTGACTGAATCATTGTCTTGCTCATGATACAAGCTGAAGTGTCGGTTAATAAGCTACACGCTTTACAGAACTAAAAATACCTAAGAGGGTATTTGTTTATGGAGCTGGGAAAGCTAAATTCTTGTGGCCACAGAATTTGTTTTCACAAGCTCTATAATTTAATTGAGCTATTTGATTTTGCCTGTCTTGTAAAACGTGGTCCTTGCAATTAATAACAATTAACTTGTGGTTAATTGCGGGGATGCACATGTATGCATATGTGTAAAATTAATAAGCCTCTCTAAATGGGAGATTTATTAACATGTAAGACCGGTCTGATCTAAATCTGTATGAATAATTATTAATTATCAATTATTAACTACGATATGCAAATTCCCCCCCTGATCGGACCGCCTTGTGTCTTTACAATGTCTTTACTTCCTTTCTGGGCCTTGAAAGTTGCAATGACGTTGCAGTCAAGAGAGATCAGAAAGCTCTAATTTGTGTTCCGAAAATGAACGAAAGTCTTACGGGTCTGAAACAACATGGTGTGAGTAATTAATGATACAATTTTATTATTTTGAAATAGAATTGATCACTTTTGATCAATTTAATGCGTTTTTGCTGCATGAATAAATTATTAATTTGATTCTTTTTTCTTTTTTTAAAACCTTACTAAACCTTACCTTACTTACTCAAACTTTTGAATGGAAGTGTATCACGGTTTCCACAAATATTTTAAGCAGTGCAACTGTTTTCAACATTGTTTTCAAAAAATGTCTTGTGAGCACAATTAGAAAGATTTCTGAAGGATTATGTGACACTGAAGACTGGAGTAATGATTCTGAAAATTTAGCCTTTCCAACATGTTTGTCTCAGCTCCGTCCCAATTCAGAGGCTGCATCCTTTTAAGGCCGTGTTCGAAGGCTGATTGCATCACCGTGGCGTGACAAAATCTGTCCCTGCTCCTTCAAATGCATCCTTCATTTTGCGGGTAATGAAGGATACAACAGATGGATCCTTTGCATCCCACGCTACCCCAGAATTCATTGCACTGAGGTGATGACAGGAGAAATTGAGAATTTGGACTGGTATATTTGGATGAACTATTCTATGAAAGGCACAAACCAGTTGGACTGACAAATTTAGACATGTGAGTGGGTGATTTGTAGTTATCTCACCCCATCTGAATGTTCAGGGAGGGTCTGATATGGTTGTGATGACTCAGTCTTGCAGGGTCTGGTGTCTTCTAGTAAACCCACTGAAGAATCAAAGTCCTCATCGGTACTGGAGCCCTTGAAGAAAGAGGAATGAGTGCTATAGTGCTGTATCATGCCATAATTGGCTGTTTAAAAATAAATAATTCTTCTTTTTCATATAGGCATTGTAGGCCAAACCTCGAAGCGATTTAACATTTTAGCCCTTCCGGTTCCATTGTCCTGAAGTCAATGGGTTTTTTAAATGGGTTTTTGAATATTTGAACTGAAACTTTCATAAGAGTTTCATAAGAACCTGTAAGAGTTATAATTTATAATAATTATAATAATTCATTACATTTATAAACCTCTTTTTCTGGGACCTCAAAATGCTTCACATATGGAATTGTCATAAGCTTAATGGTGGTGCATTTTGTTTATAGCTTACATTTAGCTTTTTTAATTCTGATAATTGCTTCAAAATTAAAAAAAAAAAAATGTGGTCATTTTTTGGATATTATGATAAACAAAACCTGTAAGAATCATAAACTTTTGTTGGTTACAAAACTTATTTTCTGAAATAATCTAAAAGTTGATGAAAAAATCCTGTTGGGGTTTTGACGAGGGAGCCAGTATAATGCTGACTTCTGGGTTGACCTACAAAAATGTCATCACTGCAACAATTTATTGTTCCTCATGCAACAATAATAGGAAATGTGGAATCTAGTTAAGGTTAGGTAACCTGGGTGAAAGGTTTGGATTGGGCCTGAATGTTCTTCGGGGAGCCAGAGCCTCTTAATCTTTCACTGAACCAAGAGAAAGGCACAAATGGTGGACCAGATGAACGTGATGACTGGTTCTCTGTTCTCTCTGAAACCCTGCATACAAACAGACAAAATACCTCTCACACTGCATCTATACAAGTACACAAGAAAACATAGGTGCTCAGATAACTGACATTAGTAAACACAGGACAGACTCACATACCGATTTCCTGCTGAGAGTCTGTTGGATCTGTCTTTCCTGACCTTTCCATATGTGCGACGTAAAGTGACCCTGCTCCGCAGAAAAACAAGCTAATATTAAGATCCCAACTCTGACCACTACTATGTCATCTGTATGATGTTAGTGGTTGAGAGAGAGCATACAAAATAATTTAATTAACATGAAAATGTAATTTTAATAAATTCTTGGTGTTTACAGTTGTCAGGAAGTAAAGCAACAAATTGCACAATTATAGAGTTTCTATAGTGTCTGCATGTTTAACATAAAAATAAATTTTAAGCTATGCCAATATTTTTACAAATGAAATGTAGCAAACAAACTCCTCATACGATAAAAACTGTAGTTCGATTATACATTGTACTTGAATAAAATGATAACCTAAACATGATAACATCTATATTAACTGCTTTTATTCAATTTAAAAATATTATTTAAATTAATCAATTTAAAAACACAGTTATTTACAGTAGGACTTGTAGGAAACTAACCCCAAATCAAGAAAACGTCTCCTGGTTTTCTTGTCCAGCAGCACTGTTGGACTCTCTGGTTCATCAGGGCCTGTGTCATGACTGTCATCTGAAAACAGATCATCAAATTGAGCATCAGAATCCAGATCAGAATCTGGGCCCCGGTGGTCAGATATTTTAATCTGGAACAGAAGGATTTGGAAATATCATGTTTTGCTACCCAGGATTAGGTAATCCATCTCACTATTATGGCGAATTTTTTAAAGGCAAGATCGGATTGGATCACCCTAAAACAGATAGACTTTGATACAACAGATACAACTTTTCCCGACCACCAAATCTGGATTACACGTGCTCTGAATGGGCATACATACAGTGTAGGCTACTAGCTACTGTCAATAAAAAACAACATGTGCCATGTGATTGGCTGATTAGATATTTGCATTAACGTGCAGTTGAGGTGTACCTAATAAAGTGGCCGGTGAGTGTATATATTTGGTGATGAGATGTACTTATGCAGTTCAAACCTTCGCTCTGCGAGTATTCTCCATAGTGTAGGAGGGGTTGGCTGCCCTCCCGTGACTTGAGGTTGTCTGTCTCGCAGCGATGGGCTGGGGAAGATGTCTCTGAATGGACGCAGGGTCTGCAGGGGGATTTAGAACGGGTGAGGTGCAAAGTCTCCTGAGAGGAGGTGTTCAGGAAGTGTCTGTAGCTCCATCTTTCATCTTGTACCTCCCTTTCTCCAACCACAGTGTAGGGGTCAAAGGTGAAGGACTGGTCTCTTCGTGAGGAAGGGGAGGAGAGAAGCAGATCAGAGGGGGAAGAGCAGCGAAAGGAAGGGTGGAGTGGAGAAGATGAGGTCTGCACAGAGCCGCCGTAACTCTAAACCACACACACACACAAAGACACACATAGCATTTTTGAACTGGCAAGTAAACATTAACTGTTTCAACATTGATAATAATAATAATAAGAAGAAGAAAAATGTTCCTTGAGCACCAAATCAGCATATTAGAATGATTTCTGAAGGATTGTGACACTGAAGAGTGAAGTAATGGCTGCTGAAAGTCTTTAAAATTGTAATAATATTTCACAATATTGCTATTTTTACAGTTTTTGATTAAACAAATGCAGCATTGATGAGCAACTTATTTCAAAAACATTAATCCACTCTGCCATTCTTTAATTATTTACCTATAATAGTTAATTAATCAGAGGTCTCACACATTTACAGAAAATAGAAAATTACTTACAGTTGCATAATAATGTGATGGGGCGTTAATTGAGTCAGGACTATTGTTGCCTCAAAAAATAGTTGTATTATGATAGCCCTTATAATAACAGCGAACAAGTTTGAAATGACATGAGTGTGAGTAACAACAAGATACATAAGAGACTGTCATTTTTATGTGTGTATACACACCATTCTATCAGTGCTGTCATCCCCATCTATCGAGCTCACACTGTCTCTCAGGCGGGTTCGGGAGGGCCGATGCCTCTTGGTTTTAATTGACAGTTGTGCTTTAGCTTTTTGTAAGCTGCTGTCAAGTCGTTCTGTCTCAGGAACCACCTCTGTCAGATCTGATATGGTATAAAACACATACAGTAGACATATGTAACACTTTTTTGATATTGAGTATTTGGAGGCAAACATGTCGACAAAGACACAAACTGCAAACATGATGAAAATCTTGATAAAAGACTGCTGCGCTGGTCTCAACACGCACTCCTGCACATATTAGTGTTCTCGTTACAATCCATAAAACGCCGTGACACCGTAAAAGCAGGCCTGAAGCGCTATTAAGCTGTCAACAGCCTAAATTACTTATATGAATGATGGGTGGTCATTCCTCATGTGCACTCTAGGGGTGTGTGAGGGTCAGAATCAGGAAGTACACAAACACACGTAGACATATACATGAAAGTGAATTACGCAACTTCACAGTTATATTCATAGATATACATTTGCAGTGATTTAATGATTTGATGCATAAATGAATAAACAAACAAATTACTATACTATGGTTAAATTTGGTTAAAACCATCATCTTGGAAATAAACCAAGGTCAAGTTAGGAGCATAGCATTGTGGGATATACAGCATTGTGGGTCTCTGAAATAAATTGGTACAAAAACATCAGCCACTTGGGTGATACACTTTAAATTGTATTGTAATTTTATGATATTGTGATGTGATATTATTACTATTATTTGCATCTGTTTTCTGGATTGTAATGGAGTGCTGTAATTTTATGTAACAATATCCTGCCCAGGGACTACATATGCAAATTACCTATATAGCCAACTCTGGCACAACATTTGTGTTGTGCATGGTCCCTGTTAAATAAATAAACTAAATGAAAAATACTAATGGACACCATTTAGTCAACTGTACCCTTTAGGTAATAATCTTAGACTGTAAAACGGTCATTAACGATTACATTGTTCAGAGTCTGAGTCTGCGCAGGAGTGATCCTGAGGTGGAGCTATGGCATCAAGTTCCTGCCCAAACTATATCTCCCCTGCAGACTCAATTGCATAGCTGTCAAACATAATGCTACACCCCATTTTATAGAAACTTTAAAAACATTATTTGAAGTGTAGGCTAATTTGATTTTTTTCAATTGGCTCAAGTCCCATTTGTTTACATGGAGAGGGTAGGGTTTGAGACCTATACTGCAGCCAGCCAAAATCACGGCAAAATTGCAAGCAGCTGATGCCACCTTTTTTAAATAATCCATTCAAGGTTATGTGTTAGTGATTGTCTCATGGTACTCTAAAATAAGGTTTTTAGCTTTTGACCAGCAGAGTGTTTATGACTGACCCAAATTTTGAGAAGTTCAAATAAAATCTGTAGGAGCCGTTCCAAAAATGGAAATTGAAAACACGAGGTGCACTAAACTTTATTAAAGTAATCAATAGAGAAAATTAATAACTTCTAGGCTGTTAAGTTCATACACTCCCCAATCAATTTTTACTATACTAGGCCGCTGTTAGTAGCCTAAAAGAGGCCTAGAAATAGGGTTTCGTTCCAACAAGTGGGACACTACCTACTTTTTTTTATTTAACATCAGAAATATATAAAGATTCCTTAGGAAAAAGTTCTCCACACACAACCTTGCAGTTTTTGAGAAAAATGATGCTAAAGGTGCCCATTTTGAAATAAAGCGAAACCATAGGGAATTTTGCATTTTTGAACCTGTTTATCATACAAACCCAAAAATGCAAAATTACCACTTGAGTAAACCAGTAAACTACAAAATAAACCAGTTTGAAATGTGTGATATACCTGAAGTTGCCATCTAGGCACAGTAAACATAAGATTATCAAGAAACATCCCAATTACTTCTCATTATGTTGTTCCAATTCAAAGGTAATGTTTGGGGTAAAATCTGAATAACAAATAGAATTCAGCCAAAATATAATATATAAAAAAGTAAAACACTTTTCAAAATAACACATTTAATGGTGAATTGTCAATACGCATACACGAACAGTAACTGCACTGCATGTACACAGTAAAAAAAATATTATATGGTATCTAATTAAAAAAATATGGTAACAATATTACATGTATTATATTTGAGTACACTGTAAAAAAATATTGATGGTTTAACTTAAAAAAGTAAGTAACCTGGGTTGCCTTAAAATTTTAAGTTGATTGAACTGGAAAAAGTGAGTTAATACAATGAAGGAGATTAATTTAATCATCAAAAACTCAAAATAATAAGTTATCTCAACTAAATAAATTATTATAAAGTTGATTTGACAAAAGAAAATTTGTTGTGATAACAAATCTTGAAAATATTTTTTTACAGTGTAGATTTTAAGGTGTTTTTGTGTGTGTGTGTGTGTGTGTGTGTGTGTGTGTGTGTGTGTGTGTGTGTGTGTGTGTGTGTGTGTGTGTGTGTGTGTGAGATCTACCCGAATAAATTAAGTAAAATGTCCTAAATTATTTAGTTATTTATGGCGCATGATGAATTTAATATTAGTGGAATGTGCTTGTTTTAATTTAAGTCACCTCACAAATAAATCAAGCAGAATTTACTCATTTGTGTTAATGAAATTTACTTAATTATAACATTTACTGCCTTTTTCAGACAGTAAATGTTATAATAATGAATACATAATGCACTTTTTGTTATCAAACATGCTTTTATTCTGTATTTTTTGCACAAATAAAACAAACATTTATAAAATATAAGACAGCAGTTTTAAGATATGAAAGATAAAAGCAAAAAAAAAAAAAAACTAACATTTCCCATGTCATTGAGAAAGATCATTTTGTTACACAAAAAAATGTGCATACAAATTTCTGTCGGAAAAAGTCACATTCTTGACTAAAACTTGTGAATAACTTGTGTCAAAACATAAAATAATTTGAACTTGCTGAAAGCTTTCATGTAGAACAATATTAAACGTTCATCAATCAATGCTGTTTTTTTTTTTCAGACCTCGCCTTGGTCATAATGCATTGTCTCAATCGAAGTCACGAGTTTGTTTTTAAGTGTTAGTAATTTCAGGGAAAACTTGCAAACATCCAGTTCCAAGAAGAGCTTCTGAAAGGCCTCAAAAGTGTGCCTCAGTTCTTTCGGGTAGGTGTGGTTTAGTGCATACGTGAGTCCAAGAAGAACAGCACAGGCTCTTGTCAGATTTTCCACGCCAGCCATGACTTGCATCCACCCCTCCAAGATGATGCTGAAATACTCCTGAGAATCCCTCTTGCAGATGGCAATTTTCATTATGTGCTGCAGGATATCTCCATTGTCACACTGTAAAACAACCATTACTTTTATCTTGTCTGTCTCATAAGTCTGTCCATTATTATAAACTTGATTTGTGTATGTTTGTAAAAAATTCTTTTAACAGCTTAAAATGCTAAAACAACTACAAGTAAATCATTAGGCTATAGTTTGTTTCTTTGTAATCATGGAAACATAAAAATATTATGTTTCAGTGGACCACACAGACTGTCACAATAACATAAGTACAGTTTCACCAATGACAGAAGGTGTATTCAGGAAGAAAAAATAAAATAAATGTAAAATTACATTGGGTGACACTTGTAGGGGGGAATTAAATTTCAATGGTCCACCATTCTACAAACTATATAGTAACTACAAGTCAACTAACTCAGAGTATCAGTAGACTGCTAGGTTAGGGTTAATAGATTAAGTTAACATGTAAATGCAGTTACTTAGTCAATAGAATGTCTAAAGTGGACCATCAAAATAAAGTGTTACCTTTTTAGTGGCTGACAAAAATCTATTTTGTGTTAAATATTTTCACATTAGCTTTATATACCTGGGCACAAGCCGCTCCCACTGCAATCAAACTCATAGGTTCTTTATATAATCGAGCAATAAAACTTTCGGATAAAAAAACATTACGTTATCATCATTGCAGCATCTTTAATAAATATGATTTAATGAATTTTGATTGCTTTAGCAATTTTTCCTTTCTTAAACTAATTTATAAGTGCATTAATCATCTAGCACCTGAACCACTTTTTGTGGTTATTGTTTACCATTTATTGTGAGACAGGACAACATCCGAGTCACTAGGAGCTCAACAAATTATGACTGTAAAATACCATTCTGCAGGACCAGCTTTGGACAGACGACCTTCTCTGTGAAGAGTACTAAACTCTGAAACTCATTACCTTTTGAAATCTAGACTGTGCCTGACTTTAAGATTTTCACTTCCAGGCATAAAAAACTGGTTAAAAATAAACTAAAAGTGTACTCATTTTTAATTATTATAAGACTTGTATATGATTTGTATGCAAGGTTATATTATTATTATTATTATTTATTGAAGTGGTAAATCATGTAAATATTATTGTGTATAAACCCAGCTAGAAATTTTACGTTCCCAGAACGTTCTGAGAACGTCCCCGCTGGTGTAAAGGATGTTGCCTGGTAACGTTCCCACAACATTCCCAGACAGACACGATGTGGAGTTCTTTAAAGGGTTTGGGGACGTTATTTCGAGGACCTTCAGGGAACATTCAGTATGTTCTGGGAACGTTTAAAGGACAATATTTCATTCAGAAATCCAATGTTTCCAAAACATTCTGAGAACGTCCCGCTGGTGTCAGGAACGTCGCCTGGAAACGTTCCCACAACATTCCCATACAGACACGATGTGGAGTTCTTTAAAGGGTTTGGGGACGTTATTTGGAGGACCTTCAGGGAACATTCAGGATGTTCTGGGAACGTTTAAAGGAAAATATTTCATTCAGAAATCCAATGTTTCCAAAACATTCTGAGAACGTCCCGCTGGTGTCAAGAACGTCACCTGGTAACGTTCCCACAACATTCCCAGACAGTCACGATGTGGAGTTCTTTAAAGGGTTTGGGGACATTACTCCACATCATGACTGTCTGGAAATGTTTTGAGAACGTTACCAGGTGACATTCCTGACACCAGCGAGACGTTCTCAGAATGTTTTGGAAACATTGGATTTCTGAATTAAATACCGTCCTCTAAACGTTCCCAGAACATCCTGAATGTTCACTGAATGTCCTCCAAATAATGTCCCCAAACCCTTTAAAGAACTCCACATCGTGACTGTCTGGG